ATAGATCTATACACATAATGCCCGCTCTCACTCCAGGAGACTCTGGTTATGCGGTGATAGCACAAAGATGTGTCGTATCGAGAAATAGTATGTCACATTCTATTTTAGTAAGTTCTCTTGTATAGTATGTAGTGTTCTCTTTGTATAGCATATAGTGTTCTCTTTGTATAGTATGTAATGTTCTCCTTGTATAATATATAGTGTTCTCTTGTATAGTACATAGCATATATTGACTCACAACTGAACTGACTCTGATAGTTGTCATGGAAATAGTAGCATTGAGTAGTATCCCTTAACTATACCTATTATAGTTAAATAGTATTGTTGGTTGCATGTCTTTGATAACCAAAGGCATTGAACTGATATGAAAACTTTTATATCTGACACAAATATATGCGATATATAACTAAGAATTCAACGAGAGTCGGACTAATAACAAAATACCCTAAGCCCACAATCAAAACAAGAACAGGAAGTAAGGTGAGTTATTAGTCCTAAGTCCTTCAAGTCTTACTTATATAAATATATTGGTGTAGATATGGTTTGAGAATAAAAATAGTTTTAAAAGAATTTTCGAAAATAGTTTTATAGTGATTTAACACGAAAATGAATTTGGTAAGCATTTGGAAACAGTTTAATTGGCAATATAGTTGAAAGTATAGAAAATCCCTTTTTGGTGGTAAAAACAGTCAATAGTGTAGAAAATCCTTTTGGTTGCAAGTTATAATTCACATGCGATTGTTACTATAACTTATTTGGTTCAACTTGTATTCCCCCCCATAAAACAGTTAAAAACATTTAAAAAGGTTCATTTAGGGGTATGAACTCACCTGTAGTGAGTGAAGTGGATGGAAACGCCGGGTAGGATGCTAGGTGTCAAGTGAGGACTTGAACACACACACGGATCCTATGTAACATGTAGTGATGTATAAAGTATCTAATTAGTTGTGTAATCACTAATTAAGTGAGTAAAGGCACTTTAATGTATGAAACACTTTGTTTCAAGTGTTAGGAGTGCTAAAGGTGGCATCTAAGGAGTGTATGGCCTCACTATGGAGTTTACACTTCACTTGGCCACACTTAAGTGTGTTTACGGTTGGGAGACCATTTCCCCCATGAGTTTACGGCCGTAAACTCATGGAAATGGTGAGTTTGTGTGTCTAAAGGTCTCATGCATCACAAGGAAGGTTCCTAGGATCAATTCAAGGGCTTGGGAAGTGATTAGGGTTCAATTGGGTACTCCCTTGGAGTTTACGGTCCTTGGACCACTCCTTGGGAGTTTACGGTCGTAAACTCTAGGGTTTACAGCCGTAAACCCTTGACCACTTCAACCATTTCATGTTTTTGGTTCCTAAGCTCATCTACACTAGTTTCTAGTTCATCAAACAAGCTAAGGAAGGGTTTAGGGGCATCAAAACACCATTTGAGGTGTTTACGGTTTTGGGTTTACGGTTTTTGAGTGTTCAAGAACCGTAAACTCAAGTTTATGGCCAAAAAGTCATGATCTTGGGTTCCTTAGTCCATGCATGCAAGTATCTAAGCTATATCTAAGCATTAGAGAAGGTTTGGAAGTGTTTTGGGGCTTCAAAACCCTCATATAGGAGTTTACGGTTTTGGGAGGCTCCCCAAAACGTAAACACATGCATGTTGGGGTGTTTGGATGATCCAACTCGAAATAGCATGAATACCAAGCTAGAAAATCAAGTTAGGAAGATTACCTTTGATTTTTGAGGCTTGAAAGTGGTGTTCTTGAGCCAAACCCGATTTTAGAGAGAGGAAGTAGAGAGAGAAAGCTCCAAGGTGGGAAAAGACTCTAAAGGTGGACACTCCTCCTTTATATATGGCTGCCTAGTGGGGACCCACCATACACTGTCGTTTAAACGGAGCTAAATGCTTATACCCGGTAAACTAACCGTAACCCGACTTAGATGCTTTTATTCCGTCATTAAATATATATTATTTTAATAACTCAAAATGAATTATTTTAATAAATAAAAGTTAACGGAAAATTTTAATAGAACTAACTTTTATTAACGGAAACGGGTTACAGTGACGGAGTAAATTTCGGGTTGTCACATATGGACATGCATGCACCATGCATGTCCCCACACCATTTTAGGTCAAAAGTAGAAATATGGCCTCAAGTTCTCATGCATGCTTCTAATACTTCACCAACTTCCAGATCTGGATGATATGAGACTCAAAGGACCATTTGAATTCATAAAGTTGCTAACTTTATGGATCTTCTTCACTCCAACTAGCTATAATTATTGGAATAGTGTCCAAGGTCATTAACTATTGGTAATATTTCTAATAATAGCAGGGTCCTTTTGGGTTGCCCTCAAGACCCAAATTGAGTAGAATAAATAAAGGAGAAATTGGTTTATTAATTATTATAGTTAATAATTAGTTACAAACTAAATGGAAATATATTTTGGGAATTAATTAACAGTTTAATTAATTAAAGGGTTGAACGTTCATTAATCGATAGTTGGTTAATCAGGAATGTTCCAAAACCCTTATGGAATTAGGGTTGGATGAAAATCACTCCATCCCACATGGGAAAGGAGTAAAATTTCGTGGTTATGCTCCCATCCCACATGGGAAGGAGTACTAAACCCTAGGAGGCATCCAAGGCTATAAATAGGGCTTTAGGGATTCCATTCCTCCTTGCACCTTGGCTTGAAGTTTCACCAACCCTTCTTCCCCCCCCCCCTCTCTTAGGGACGATTTCTAACCCTTTTGGGTTTGTGAAATTGACCATTCTCCTAGTTATTTTTATTCCACTCTTTGGTGTCATTGGGTGTGATACCATTAGAGGGATTCTAGTTTGGGTCCTTTCATCCAAGCAACTTCATGGAGGTTCAAGATCTCAAGCATGGAGATCAAGGGCTACATAAGAGGTATGTTTTCTTCTTTGTTTTTATGTTTCCTAGGGTTGATGTAATTAGCATGAAGCCATAGATCCATAGGATGCATGTACACTTAGGTATATCATTGTTTCGATTTTTCTACTGCCTAGTTTTAGAGTGTATTTGATGCATAGAAAACCCAACAATAACTTAAGGAAATAGGACCAAAAACCTAGATCTAGCCATGTAATGAAATAAAGTTTGAGTCTTGGTACTTACAAGGGGTCCAACAGGAAAAGAGCTGATGATAATGATGCTTCTTGGAACTTTCACCACAATGATACTTCTTTCTCTTCTTTTCCTCTTCTTCAAGCAAGCAAAACACCAAGAATGACCAAGGACCTCAAAGAGGGTCGAAATAAGGGTTTCCAGGAGGCTTAGAGGGTGAGTGAGGCTGAGGATGTGCAACCCTTGCCTCTCATTCTTTTAAATACCCGCAATATTAAGGTCTGCAGTCATTAGGCCGCTCTCACGTCGTGAGAACTTATTCCACACGTTATGACACTCAAAACGATGTGGGTCAACTGGTCAACTATTACCCACGACGTGAACATAATATCTCATGTCGTGACCCTCTTCCCAAAGCGATCATCCACCTGAATGTCATCCAATGGAACCACCGCAGAATCATCAACCAAGCACTTCCGCAGCTGATAGACATGAAATGTGCTATAAATCTGATTGAGCTCCTCTGGCAGATCCAAACGATACGCAACCCTACACACCCGGCTAATACCCTGAAAGGACTAATATACATGTGGCCCAGCTTACCCCGCTTCCTTCCCATCCAGGCCAAAATTGCCACTGGCTTGGTTTTAAAAGCGAGATGCGTTCCAATGCGATAAGGATTCCGAAGTACGATGCACGATGCTCGATGCGAATGCACGTGCATCACGTAGACAAGGCGCACAAGTAGTCATTAGTGAAACAGAATGTGTTATGCATGATTACCAGTATACTAAAATACCATAAATATATATAAATAAGAGTGCATAGTAGCAAATATTAATAACTAAATAACTAATAGTCTAATAGTAATGCAAATGAAACTAATAGACCCTAATAGTACTAGTAGTGCATAATAGCAAATATTAATAACTAAATAACCAATAGTATAATAATAGTGCAAAATGAAACTAATAGGCCCTAATATAATTTCCATCACTCATCACTCATCATCATCATCATCATCATAATCATATACCTCAAGCATCATATCTCCATCCTCATCACTAGACAAGCCAATATCCTCTTCCATCTCATTTTCATCAACCAACACATCTCTAGTAGGGGCCCTACTAGATACCATTGCTTCTTTTCCTCTACTATCTCTTTATGATCTAGTTGAATAATAAGGCTCATTTACCCCGGAGGCCTCTTCTACAACATCCCAAGTCAAATCTTCACCTTGAAACACAAAATCATCTACTTTATATTCCTCCAATCGACCCATCAACCATTCATTGCTCTCATCTATTTCATGTAGGAGGATAGGATTACCAATACCCTTTTTTGTATCTATGATCTAATGCACGGTTGAATTTCACATAGATCATATCATTTAGTCTACTTTCCGCCGATCTATTCATTTTTTTATATGAAGCTACAATAAAAAAATTCAATAACATTAGACATATCATATATCAGAATGTGTCGATATTCAATAAAAATAAATGTCATATAATATATATAATATGGCAACTTACATGTTGAAATACTCCCCAATTTCTCTCACAACTTGTAGCACTACATGTAAGACTAAGGACTCGTACAACAAAGTTTTTCAAGTTGGGAGTCGAAGATCCATAAGATATCCACCACTCAGCTGGCAAAAACCACATTTGAAAAAAAGTTAGAAACTAACACTGTTACATAAACTTTATAATTATAATATATAATTAATCATATATAAAGTTTAGTTGATGAAAAAAGGAAACCTGGTGGTTTTGTCTTTCTGTGCCTAATTGCCATTGGTATACCAAATAAACCTTCAACATTTTGATACACAGATAATTCTGCAGAAATCTTGTCTTGGATGCTAGAATCTGGAACTAATCGCTCGATGCATGCATATAATCCTTTCATAACTTATTCACAAGATGCGCTTTCTTGGTTATCATAAAAGGTTTCTGGATTTAAGTAATGTCCAGCCGCATACAAAGGCCGATGAAGTTGGCATTGCCACCTTTGATCAATAATCTGAAAAGCTTTCTTGTACTCCTCTTTTTTATTATGAAATCTTTTTGCAATAGCCTCCTTGGCTCTATCCATCGCCTCATAAATATAGCCCATCGTTGGCTTTGTTTCCCCGTCGACCATTCTAAGGACTTTAACAAGTGGTCTCGTCAACTTTACAGTATAGACAATATTTCTCCAAAATGAGTTTTGCATAAAATATGATTTCATCTTTTTCCTAATATCATCCTTGCCCCACTTGCTTTCTGCCCACTCTTTGGACAAGATCATCTTTCTTAAATTGCCTTTTTGCTTGTGAATTTGTGATAAAGTGATAAATGATGTTGCAAACCTATAAAATGTAACATAAAATTCAGTTAGATACAATAAAAATGCAAGAACATAACGAATATGAATGGTTAATAAAGTGTAAACTGTTAAGAGACACAAACCGAGTAATAGCAGGTCTACGTAAGTTTCTTTGATTAGTAAACTTGCGCATCATGTTCACAAGACCAACATGGGTATATATAAACCCATTCAACAACATACAATTTTTCAAAGAACTTTTCACCTTAGGAATTTGCTTGCCAATGTCCTCTAAAATATGATCAACACAATGTGTCTTGCATGGTGTCCAAAAGAGGTGTGGTCTTTTGGATTCCAATAATTTCCCTACAAAGTTAACACCAAAGTAAAATTAATAATCAACATAATGTAAATTAAAAAAAACTAATTTACATAATATCTATTTCTTACCCACTTTAACATAAGCAGACACATTATCCGTGATAATTTGGATAACATTAACCGCTCCCACCTCTTTAACCATGTCATAGAGAACACCAAACAACAAGTTTGCATCCTTTGAAACTAGGAATGAGCGTGGTGTGACATCCACCAAAACTCAGGTCAATACTCATCTAGAACCTTGTCATTTCCTTGTGTGCACTTAACTTGGCTCTATAGTTACAAGTTGAACTAGGTTTGTGACTTAATAGATCCCTCGGAACAAGTAGTGTACCTTAGTTGTATTGAACGATCACATTGATATGTAAAGGAACCAACTGAGTGGTAAAGTGCCAAAGCTGAACCTTAAGTCTAAACATAAAACTATGTTCGATAGATTACAACTCAAGGGTAGGTTATTAACCCTAAAAATTTCATATTGGAACAAATTGATGCTTAACAAGGTTAAGTATCACAAGCTAATATGAACAAAAATTAGATCATAATATGAACCAACTATAAAGTTGATGACAAATTCATACACTTCATGATTCGAATTGTGAACCAAAAGTAAAATCCAAGAATATCAAATTCTTACAATCACATATTATGAATCCTTGTTAGAATTGTTGAAATATGATAAATTGATTTTTATAAAAATTAAATAATAGGTTATCATTATATAAATTAATTCAACAAATATAATTTTTGGAAGTCATTACCAAGTGTAAATACCTCAACAAAACCCAATAATTAAAACCTTAGGAGATTATGAAAATGTTTGAGTTTTATAAAATTTAAAATCTAGATTTATAAAAATTCAAGGGAGGCATTTATTATTTGATCAAATACCAATAAAAATACCATATCCCTCTTAAATTTTCGTCCATTAGGCTTTTCCCTCTCCCCCATGCCTTAAAACCCATCATTACACCTCATTTGAACCACCTACACACTCCATCTCACACTCCTTCTCCAAGAAAACTCTCCCACTTCCAAGACCACTCCTACACATCAGAAAATCCTCCATTCTCTGCCATAATTTCGAAATTGAGAAGGTCTTGAAGTGTTCTTGCTTCTCTCAAGATCAAAACCAAGGTAAACAACACAATCCTCCCTCATAGTTTCATGATTTTACTTCCTCTTCTTCATGGTTCTTCTCTACTCTTCGGATTCTATGCCCTTCTATGGCTAGAAATCCTTACTTTTTCCCTTGTGGTTTGTAGATTCTCACCATAACACAATGCATGTGTTTGAGATGGTGAAAATCCGGGATCAAACCCATGCAAGGAGTGAAAAAGATGCACATGTGTTCATGTGACTTCAAAACCGAGTATTACATCTTCTTCTCCATTTCTTTTGTGTTCTTGCATGACCAAAAGCATTTAAACCATTTCTAGTACATCTTGGATGCTCATTCACTCCATGCATGTGCTAGAAATCGGACCTTAACAGAAGCATGCATGTTGTTCTTGTCAAAGTGCCCTAAGAATGCACTCAAAGCAACCAGGGGAGACATGCAATCTGCCAGACTATTTTGTTCAGATTTGAACGGCCATAACTCGGTCATTACTTAACCAAATCCTGATATTCTTTTTGTATTGGATAGTTCCACGAGTTAGCTTTCAAACCCAACTGGTCTCACTATAAAAGATTAAATATCGGATTTTTGGCAATTTTTACAAAATGGTTGCGCGAACAGCTCTTTTTCTGTGATCACCATTTTTACTTTACGTGATCAGTGGCCTTAAACCCAACCATAAATCTGGGGAAAATTAGTTTAGAAACCTAACATATCCAGTGAATGATGGCTGAAATTTCGTGGCTTAAAACCCCACAGAATGTGCTACTCAAATTCATGAACTTCAGCCACATTTACATCTCATGCACTATAATGTGCAACATTTCTTAACTTGTTTGGGTTCAGTACCCCTACTTTCCTTCTGAATAAATTTTGAACATTTTTCCTTTTGAAAGCCCTCACATGCATGTGATAATCTGTAAAATACCAAGGGCTAGAACCAATTCCTTATTTATTTATAAAAATAGTTATTTAATGGCTTTAAATTCCAAATAATCATTTTCGGAAGGTATAAATATCTGAAAATTTTTATTATGAATATAATCACAGAATAAGAAAGCCATGTAAATTTTCAGACATTTTGGACACTGTTTGATATTTATTCCATATTTTTCATTAAATTGGAGCATGAAATTATAATCTCGGGTTATTGGACTCAAAGTTCCTAACCAATATTTTTCTCAACCTTAGGAACATTATAAGAACCTGTAAAAATTAAATTGGGAATTTTAGAAACTGTTTACCAATTTATTTGGATTTTCTATATTATTTGATCCTAAATTACAAATAAATATAAAACGACCATAAAAAATGTCTATAAAATTTCTGGACACTGATACCCTCCTGTAGAAACACAATATAAAGTTTTACAATTTTTGGAGTTCATTTTCATGCCTTTATGAATTTTTTTTTGAATATAAGACACCATGAATTCAATAATACTAATAATGAACCAAACAAACTTTGGGCACTTAATGATACCACTAGTAGGATAAGTAGACTTAGATAATGGTTTAGTGAATTATATCTCACTAGAGACTATTTGTTCCGTAGGACGCTATTAGGATTCGCACTCACCAACATCAACCCGCAAAGCCCGAGCCGCAAACTTTCCAGGGTGAGTATTCATGCACTCCCCTATTTTCAGTTTTTAATGTTTTGGGGTGGAAAGCATGCCACAATATCTATGAACATTATTTTATGAACTTGTGCTATGAATTTGTGATATGAACTTTGTTGTATGAACTTGTATTATGAATTTGGTGTTATGAACTTGTATGATTAAGTCCCCGGAGAACCGATACAACCTATTAACTCATATTTGAGCCGATGATCTTATGGATAGCGCTATTTGGGGTCGACAGCCCCCACTCGCCCGGAACCGCGAGTGCATATTTCTATGAACTGACATCATGGGAACCATGGACATGATGGAATGGGGCAGGAACGGTCGTTAGGCTTGGTTGTGAACGGAATGCAATGGCATTCATCGTCTTCTAAATTGGAACATATATAGAATAAACTACATTTTTGAAATAATGTATTATTATAAACCTGTGAACTCACCAACTATTTTATAGTTGACCCTCGTTTTTGCATCCTTTTCAGGGAACGGTCAGTGAATCAACAAGACGTTAGCATGATTTAAGTTGTTACCTTTGCTATGTATTAAATTATGTGTTGTGAAAACTGAATGTATTTGTTGTGTACGCGATGTAAACTTAAAACGCTTAATGTTTATGGTTGGTACTTCTATTTACCTTTGTGATGAGACCTTAGCCTGTCACTCTTCGTGTTTCCGCTTTAACGGGGTGTGACACGTGGGATGGAGCCGGTACCGACCCGTACCGTTCCCGATTTCCCGAGAAATGAATTTGGTCGAAAGTCAATCCCGATTACCAAACCGAATTAACATCACTGGTACCGGTACCAGGAATGGTAGCGGTTTTTGGTACTAGTACTGGTACTGGCGGTACCGATTCTCGAATTTCATGTATTTGGAGTACCGAGTACCGTGCCATATTTTTACATTCGGTACGGTTCGGTACCGGTTCCGGTAGGGTACCGGTAGGGGATCGGGATTTGGGACAAACTGCTCATCCCTATTTGAAACTTCCGAGACATCCTTGGATTTATTAAAAACAGATCCCCGTGGAGAATTCACTGAAAAGTTTATTATATCTTTTTGCATCTCCGAATCACGCCAACCATCTGACATGATCGAACACCCTTTCTGGGTCCATTCTTGCTCATGTTCCTTCATTTTTCCTTTAATGGCTTCTACTTCTTTCTTTAGCAAAGGAATACGTACACAAAAACAGCAAAGTTTTAACATAAAAACTGCATATAAACAAAAAAAACAACATGTTTATTGCTTAAACATAAAAAACAGGCTATATAACTTAAAAAAACAACATTTTTATTTAAAAAAAAAAACATATGAAAGGAATAGAAAATACATGCATCATAAAACCATTTTGCTATTTCACTACATACTTTTCCCCTTAGTTTTTTCCAACACACCTCATTAATCGTTTGTTGTTTCCTCCTTTACCATCTTTTCTACCTTTAAGTGCAGCTTCAGGATTTGGAGTGTAATACATATCTATAAGCCCTTTTTGTTTTGGCTTCTTTTTGGGAGGTAGTTTGCTAGTTTCTTCACTTCCCCTTTTTGATCTTATTTCAACACAATCTTCTTCTTCATCTTCGTCATAATCATCAACTTCTTGCATCCTTGATAGCATTTGAATACTTTCTTTTGATGCTTGTTTTTCTTTCATAAAGTCTGCTACTTCTTTCCGGATATGTCTCGGACATCTTGGGCAATCAGTGACGTTTCTATAACCTCCAACAAGGTGTTGTTTTAACCGGTATGTGCCTCCCTTAACAACTTTTATGCATAAAGTGCATGAAAAGTTATTTCTAATCTTAGGGTCTTGGGCACCATATCTTCTTGTCGGATCAATGTTAGATCGAGTATCCATTATAGAAGAGTAGAAGTGTAGAATAAAATAGGGGTGAGTGATGAACTGATGAGTGATGATCTAAGAAAAAAACGACAGTGGTGGGGAAGAAGATGTCGATCAAGAAACAAGTAAGACCAATGATAAAGAAAGAGAGAAGAAGAAGATTCAATCTCCCAATAACATCACGTACACATAGGTATGGGTTAGGATTATTGTACATGGCTACATGCTATCTCATAATCCAGGGTACATAGAAGTAGGGCCGATTAGTTTATTTAAACAATGCATGGGCTTTTTTAATTGGATTATATATATATTTTTCAAATAAAATGGGCCTGTCCAGGATGCACCGGGATGCACAAAAGGATGATGCGCTTGGATGTGCACGCATCACCTCCCAACACGGACTTCACATCACACCATATTATTGAAGCGTTTTTGGTTGCGCATCGCTGCGCTTCGGTGTGCATCGTGCCTGATGCATACCTTTTTAAACCAAGGCCATTGGTCTCTCCACATAATTCAGGCGATCATTGACCTGAATAACCTCCAAAG